GAGAGAGAGAGAGACAGAGAGACACAGAGAGAGAGACAGAGAGAGAGAGAGAGAGAGAGAGAGAGAGAGAGAGAGAGAGGCACGCTCAGCAGAGCGGCGGGTGGGGACCAGGAGCGCCGGCTCCGCCTCCGAGACGCGGGTCCAGGAAACCCCTGGGGCGGACGGGTGGCCCTGGGGGCCCGGGGGCGGGGAGGCGGGAGGCGGGCACCGCCCCGGCTGACAAAAGTCCCTTCAGTTCAGTCGGCAGCAGGGGAAGTCCCGCAGCCTGGCGAGACCGCCTTCCCGTGCCGAACTTGCCGCTCGCCCCGGCGTCTCCGGGCGGCCCGATGCCCCGATGCCCCGCGGGGGCCATGGACGAGGGGCCCGTGGACCTGCGCACCCGGCCCAAGGGCACCCCGGGCGCCGCGCTGCCGCTCCGCAAACGCCCGCTGCGCCCCGCGTCCCCGGAGCCCGCAGCCCCGCGGGCTCCTGCCGGACCCCTGGACCCCCTGCGCAGCAGCTGCGACGCCCCGGCTGTCCCTGGGCCCCCCCACGGCGTGGCCAGGCCCGAGGCGATTTATTACCAGGGTGAGTAGCCTCCCATGCGAGGGCCAGGGCCTGGTGGGGGCCACCTGAGGTCAGCAGAGCCTAAGACACAAATAGATGGGTTCCTGGTAGCTGGGACTCTGGAATGGAGGCTAGTGTCCCAGAGATAGTTAGGAAACAGGTTGCAAAGCCCTGGAGCTCAGCCCTGAGGATACCAAGAGACAGGAGGTCAGAGGGGTGCCCGAGGGGCAAACGGCATGGGCGATGTCAGGGGACAGTGTCCAGTGGCGCAGATCTGGGGTCCCATGGCATCCCACAGACGCAGAATTACAGACTGGGAGGCCCAGATGTAAGGACTATGAAAAATTATCACCCGGGCCTTGGAAACTGGGCTTCTGGTATGCAGGTATGTGGGGGGCGTAGAAACAGAACAGAGGTCTAAGGTCTTGAGAACCGAGATTTCAGGGGGCACAGGGGCTAAGAGAAAGGCATTAGCGTTCTGAGCACCCCCGTGTTTGGATCACAAGCCTAAATAATAACATGTAGAGCCCCAAGGACCCCAATACTGCAAGTCTGGGGGAGTCAGCAAACAGAGGCAGCATTCTGCAGTCAGTGGTGTATGCTCCCAAGTGTCCCCAGGTCAGGTGGCCCTAGGGGCAGGCTTGGGGACAGAGGGTTCTAGGAAGGGGAACACAACTAAGGAATTCAGAAACTGAGGGACTTATCCTTATCCAAGGAAAGGATTCGGGGACCTGGAAAGGTGGCCCTGCAGAAAGGGAACCCCAAGGCTGCTCAGACGGCAGGAAGCCAGGTGCCCTTCTCCCAACCTGTACATCAAGGAAGGGGCACCCCCTTGCATAACCACCTGACTATCTGCTGGATACCCCAGAGCTGCTCACAACCGTTTCTTTGGGCCTGTCTATCCATGTCAGGAGGGCATCAAGCTGTGTAACAGGGGGCCTTCCTTGGCCTGGTGGGATCCCCGGCTTCCCTCTTCCCGTCTCTGTGATAGCCCTTCCCAACAGTTCCATCTAAACGTGTTCTGGGGACAAGTTTTCCAACTGTCCTGGCTCTCTAGATCCATTGCCTGTTTCCTGTGCACCCAAGACCCATCAACCCCATCAACTGCACCCTTCGGCTACGAAATTACAGTGTAACTTTGTAACTAGGGTGCGCCTGCGGGGGGTGGTGACAGGGCTCGCTCTGCCCTTAAGGGTCTCTTCTGTAGACAGATGGAGGTCAGGCCCTCGTGAGAGAAGAAACAGTATCATAGGAGGGAATCGGGATGAGGGATGGGGTGAGGGGTGAGGAACACAGGGTACAAGAATGGGGGGCGGGAATGAGGACATTGTCTTGGGCCTTGAGGACCAAGTTCGAGGAGCTAACAGAATCTGGGATAACCAGTCGTGGTGATGCTTGCCTGTGAACCCAGCACTTGGGAAGCTGGAGCAAGAGGATCTCCATGAGTTTGAGGCCAGTCTGAGCTATAAAACACAGTGACACAGTGTTTCAAAGGAGGCACTGGGGCTAAAGAGACGCCTGGGGTTAAGAGCACTTGCAGCTCTTGCAAAGGGCCTCAGCTTATTCCCAACAGCCAGGTCTGACGAATCACAAAGCCATCTGTAACTCCAGTTCTAGAAGTACAATGCCCTCTTCCGGCCTCCGGGGGCTTCTGGCAGGTGCACACACGTACATGCAGGCAAAACATTCATACACACTTTTAAAAATTAACACAGCTTTTAAAAGTAATAACTATAAATGGATCTTTAAAAGAAAAGGGACCTTGGGGCGGGAGAGATGAGGCTCAGCAGTTGAGAGTATTTTGTGTACCTGGAGTGACCTTGTCTTCAGGTCTCGGCACCCACTTCTGGTTTCAGGGGATCTGGCGCCCTCTGCTGGCTTCCCTGAGCACATGCACAAATGTGGCGCACATAAATACACTCGGGCATGTGCACACACACACATACATAGAAAAATTAAAAATGGACAAATCTTTATATACATAAAAAAGAGTGAAATAGTAACTGAAGTGATTCAGGTATATAATTCCGTCGCTCAGGAGATGGAGGCAGGGGGGTCAGGATTGGAGGCTATCCTCAGCTGCATATTAAATTCAAGGTCAGCCTGGGCTACATGAAAATGGGGGCAGGGGATTTGGGGGGATGCCAAGGCCTGAAGGGAGAGACCCCTGGTCAAGGGTGTATGGGGTTGGCTTCACCTGGGTCACCCTGTCGTTTCTGCCGTATCCAGGACCTCTGGTGCCCATTTACCCTACCCCGACGGTGGGACCCCCCTTTCCGCTGCTGAACATGCCTGCACACCTCTACTCCAGGATGTGCCCCGTGGAACACCCCCTTTCAGCTGACATTGCCCTGGCCACCCGTGCAGACGAGGATGGAGATACGTAAGTGACAAAGCGTGGAGGAGCCCAGCCCTCCGCAACACGGGGTCCCACATTAGAATCCGCCTCACTGATGCTGCACAGGACTCCCCCCTCTCTGAGCCTCAGTTTCCCCCTATGGAAAATGGGCACTTAAGAGCACTCATTGGCTAGGACTGTTGTGGGGTGGGAGACTAAGCCTGTGCGTGCTCTAACAGGAAGCCACAACCCCAGCGTCTCAATTTTGTCATAATCCAAAAAAAAAAAAACCCGAGAACGATACATCTTTCTTTGTTTTCATTTTTTTTAGTTTTATTTACATATATGAATGTTTTGTCTGTGTGAGTGTCTGTGCACCATGCGCATGCCTGGAGCCTGAGGAGGCTCAGGTGCCCTGGAAAGAGTTACAGGTGGTCGAGAGCATCTATTAGCTCCTCTGGAAGAGTAGCCATCGCTCCTAGTCACTGAGCCATCTCTCCAGCCCCCACCCCAGTTTCTGAGTCAGGGTTTCACTATGTGGCCCTAACTGGCCTGGAACTCACTCTGTAACCTAGGCTGGCCTCAAACTCACATAGCTACGCCTTCATCCACCCCCTGAGTGCTGGGATCAAAGGTGTGCGTCGCCACACCCAGCTCTGGGAACTGTATTTTATCTGCTGATTTTCTGAAGGTATTACACACTCATGAGAAGTTCGAGTCTGGGGTGGCATCTGTCATGTGCTCAGAAAACACTGCCTCGAGCTCAGGGTGGTGATGCCTACCTGTGAGCCTTGTCCCGGGGAGGCTAAGGGTAGAGGCTGGAGAATTCAGGAACTCAAAGCCAGCCTGGACTACAGAAAACAAACCAAGGGCTTGTAGGGAGAGTGCTTGCTTGTCTATGACGCATGGGGCCCAGGTTCCGTCCCCAGCACCACAGAATCTGAGCCCATTGAGGCAGACTCAGAGTGAAGCAGCCGCCTGGCCCCCTCCCAGTCTTGGATCATTTCTATTCTAGTTCACGTCATTGTCAAGGCCATAGCCCACTGAGCTGATTTTGCAACCCTCTGACTTACCTCTTGGGTATCTGCTAGGTCAGGGGAGGGCTTAGGTCTGGGCGGAGCATGTAATGAACGCCCCATGCAATTGAGTCCTGGACCAGCTTCCCCCCTCTGTACCTCAGTGTCCCTCTCTGTAAAAACCGCCATTCTAAGTATGCACCCCTTTGGAAAACTGTTCTGTTTTGTTGAGTAAAGGACCGCGTTGTCTAGGCTGGCCTGGAACTCGTCACCCAGCCTAGGACTGCTCGGATCCTGCTCCCATCTCCCAGTGCTGGGATCCAGACCTGCACCACCAAGTCCAGATTCCTCGTTTAAACTGAGACAGGGTCTCACTCTGCAAGTGGGTGGCCTGGAACTCACTATGTAGCGTAGGCCAGTTTATAACTCACAGCAAGCCTGCTGCCTCAGCCCACATGATGGGATTATCATTCGGCTGAAATGGTTTTCCTAAGGAACCCCGGTGTGGGAATCGGTTTGGGGTCTGGAATCCGCAGCCGGAGATCAATAGGTCTGTTTGTACAAAGAGCCCGGGAGCTGGCTGGATGTTCCGAGCCTCAGTTTCTGTTTGGAAACCAGGCCTTGACTTAGACCTTTCACAAGAACACCCAGAGCCGGGCTGGGCAAACAGCAAGCGCTCGCTCGATACTTGAGTAGGTAATGTTTGAACAGAGCTGCCCTGGGGAGGCTGTAGGCCTACCACGTGAGTGCGAGCAGGAGAAAGTGTCAGAGGTCCATAAAAGAATAAACTCTAGCTGCTTCCCACCCCGGGGGGGGGGGCAAATGAGGAGAGAGGTTTAATTTGTAGCTGTCCCCAGGGGCGAGCTGTCTGTGGTCTGGTAGCAGGGTGCAGTCTGCAGTCACCGCCCCTCCCCCTCCCCCAGACCCCCCTCCTCCCCTCGCCCAACGCAAACACTTCTGCCTCAGCTGCCGGCTCGGGGAAATCCCTTCCCGCAGAACTTGACCGCAGCCCAGCTGCTCGGCCTCCCCCACGTCAGCACCCTTCACTCACTCCGGCGCTCCCTCCAACCTTAACCCCTTCCGCTGGGGCCGAGACTTACCGGAATGGGCAGCCGGCCAAACCCCAGCTTGCCTGAGCTTCACACAGGCTGGGGGAGGGCAGGGCAGGGACGCCCGGCCAGGGGACCCTAAGTCTTAAATCCTAGGGAACCAGAGCCCTTGTCGTCTGGACTTGGGCTTCTTTCAGGAAACGAGAATCTCGGGGAAAGCCACGGTGGCTCCTAATACCCCCTCCCCCAGCAAAGTTCAGGGAGGGTCACCTCCAGCTTGAGGTTAGCCAGGGCTACACAGTAAGGCCATCCGGAGTCAGGGATTGGAAACTGCAAACCTTTCTGCAAGAGACGAGCCTTAAGTCTCAGGGCAGGGATTGGGGTACGGAATTCCTCCATCTTCAAGGGGAATAAGGAGAGAGATGGGGAGGGGCAGTAGTTCGGGGACCTCGTACTTACACAGGACCAACCACGCGGGTTTTCAGTCCTTAGTTCAAGAAGGTTATGATTTCAGCCGCTGGTGTGCATACCTCTAATCGCAGCCCCGTGGAGGGTGGAGAGCTTGGCTCCAAACAAAACGGTAGTTAGTGGCTCCGTGCGTTTTCAAGAAAAATGGAAGAATTTCCAAACGGAATAGCAGGTTACACTGGGGGATGGGCTCGGGGGTCGCGGCCCTGGGTTAGCCCCCATGCCCCAGAAATCAAGCAGACTGTGTACACCGAACCCCGACCTGCAGTAATGATGTGGTCCCTATGCTAGGGAAGCTCCCTGCCGTCCCCAAAGAGGTAAAGACTGCAGTATTGTCTTCCTGTGTCCTCCAAGGGACGTGGAAGACAGATGGGCCACTTGGGGGTGGGGGTGACGGCTCACTTGCTCAGATTTACGGCCGTGTATTTCTGAAGTCTAAAAAAAACGCCTTTGTAGATGCGAGGGTAGGGGAACCAGGAGCCCGCTGAGGCTGGGTCCAGTGAGGTGCAAGCCGGGCCCCAAGCCTGGAAAACTGGGGTTCTGCCTCTCGCCTCCCCCACTGGGAGAGTGGAAGTTGGGGTGCGAGGGTACGGCCGGGTAGATCCCCAGCTGGCCAGGCTTCCCTCCCCCGGGAGCAGGAAGCCCAGCCCCGCCCCGCAGACCTGTTACTGGAAGTCCGAGGGCTGGGCCGCCCCTCCCGTCCCCACTTCCTCCAGCCCCGCCCCACCCCCTGCGGCCCGCGCATTTATGGGAACTGAAGCCTGGACGGTTTCTCTGAAATCATTCGCTCCCTCTGCCCTCGCTTAACCCCGCCCGCGCCGGGAGGGACCCTGGCGGGCTGCGCATCTCCGGAGATGCTGCACAGGGATGCCGCGAAGCCGAACTGTGAGGGGGTTCGGGGCCCGCCTCTCACCCAAAATGTTCGATTTCAATCTGCTTCGCACTGTCTGGATGCAGATTCAGGGATTCGCCCACTGTAATCTGTCCTGACCCGTGGCGCTATTTCGGGAAGGAAAGCCAGGCTCACGCAGGAGGTACTTTGCCACAGGCCTTCGCTAGGAAGCCAGTGCTGCTGTCTAGGGTGGGTTCCTGATGGGATGAGCCCCTCCCCACCCGAGACCCTCAGAGCTCCCTCGGAATAACGTGGGAAGGTGATCTGAAGTGTGGATCCTGGGTGCTAACTGTACCTCTCTGCCTTGACCAGGATCTGGTTAATAAGAGGCAGTTGGCACGTGAGAAAGTAGATGCTTCATTAATGGATTTTTTGTTTTGTTTTGTTTTGTTTTTGGAGTGGTAAGAATGGAAGCCAGAGCCTTGCCTGTCCTAGTGTAGAATCCCCCCTCACTGGGGAATTCTAGGCAGGGGCTCTACCACTAAGCCACGCCCCCAGCCCCTCACTGGGGGATTCTAGGCAGGGGCTCTACCACTGAGCCACGCCCCCAGCCCCTCACTGGGGGATTCTAGGCAGGGGCTCTACCACTGAGCCACGCCCCCAGCCCCTCACTGGGGGATTCTAGGCAGGTGCTCTACCACTGAGCCACACCCCCAGCCTCTCACTGGGGGATTCTAGGCAGAGGCTCTACCACTAAGCCACACCCCAGCCCCTCACTGGGGGATTCTAGGCAGAGGCTCTACCACTGAGCCACACCCCCAGCCTCTCACTGGGGGATTCTAGGCAGGGGCTCTGTTGTAATGCATCCAAAAACATTCTTTGTTTTGCTTTGTTTTGTTATTTGAGACAGAGTAGCCCTGGCTGTCCTCGAACTTGCTCTGTAGGCCAGACTGGCCTCAAACTCAGAGACCCACCTGCTTCAGCCTGGGATTAAAGGGTTGCACCAGCACCACAGTCTCCAAAAGCATTATCTGAAGATAGAGTCTGACTATGTAGCCCAAGCTAGCTCCAAACTCCCCACCCCCTTTCAGATGTGCAGCCACTGGGATTGGCTAGTGAATACTTTAAATGAAAGTCGCCCAGGATGGAGCCATGGCTCAGAGGGTAAGGTGTTAGGGGCTCTAGCCCAGAGGAACCGAGCTTGGACCCCCAGCCGTGAAAAGCTCAGTCAGATGGCTAAAGCGGGAAGACCCCGGAGGCTCAGTAGTCACCCAGTGAGCTCCAAGCTCAAGGAGAACCTGTCTCAAACAGTAACGGGGAGGGTGATGGAGGATAGTTTCTGACAACACGCGTACGTGTGCACAAATGTGCACCCACGCAAGTGCAAGAAGATTCATGCACGCGCATGCACACCACACTCTTGTATTTTTTTTTCTTACGAGACAGGGTTTCTCTGTATTGTTTTGGAGGCTGTCGGTCCAGCCCGGCCTCGAACTCACAGAGATCCGCCTGCCTCTGCCTCCCGAGTGCTGGGATTAAAGGCTAGCACCACCACCACCTGGCGTAATTTTTTTAAAAAGTGGTGTGAGAAAGATGCCATGTGACAGAATTCAAGTGGAGATTTTCATGTTTTTGTTGTTTTTAATTAGGGAACTGGCTCATAAAAAGGGGATGGGGGGGGCCGACCTCCAGGGACAGGAGCAGCAGGAGAGAGGAAAGAGGTGCAGAGAGAGAGAGAGAGAGAGAGAGGGAGGGAGGGAGGGAGGGAGGGAGGGAGGGAGGGAGGGAGGGAGAGAGAGAGAGAGAGAGAGGGAGGGAGAGAGGATGGGAGGTGAGCCGGGCTCTTTTAAAAGGGAGGGTAGTGAATGGGCACAGGTGGTGCTCTTAGTGGCTGCAGCTGAGGGCGTATCCTGTCAGAACCCCAAGGACGGGCCAGTACAGATGCCTGAATACTAACACTCACAGGAAAAAAGAAAAACCCATACAGTAGAGGGTCTGGTGAGATGGCTCGGGGGCCGTAAGCAGGCCTAACATCCTGAGATTGATCCCAAAACCCACATGACAGAGGAAGACAAATGACCTCCACACATGTGCTATGGCAATGTGCACACACATGTGCACACAGTAAATGCATGCATGAATGCATGAATAATACACAAAAGCCAGGCATAGTTGTGCACAACTTTCATCCCAGCACTCGGGAGGCAGAGGCAGGGGGATCTCTGAGTTCGAGATCAGCCTGGTTTCCACAGTGAGTTCCATGTCAGTCAGGAACTGACATACTGAGATCTGGTAGCAGTAATAGATTATTAAAAGCTGGAAGAAAGACAGAGAGCACAGAGGGAGACGCCTGATGTGTGCACTGCACCTGCACATGCAGGAACACGCACACATGCATATACCACATTCACAGAAACATGAAATAAAAGCCATGTGGCCTTGGGGCGTGCAGTCTGCCTGCCACTCTCCCTCTGTCCCCATGCTCCTGCTCGCCCTCAGCTCTGAATGGCGGTTGGGGATCCCTGGGAAGAGGGCAAGTGCTTCAGTGGGGAGCGCACTAGGGGGCCTGAAGAGGGCTTCAGGAATCCCAGAGGAAACGGTGGCAGTGACGTTGATGTGCCCTTCCTAGGTGGGGGAGTGGGAACGACCAGTCTCTGCCCGCCCATTGTGTGGCAGCTGCTCCCATCACCAGAGGGCATAGCGTGGAGTGAGCAGCCATCTCCAGCAGAGATAATTGTCAGGTTGTGGGAAATGAACAGCTTCATGAGCCTGAGGTCATTCTGTGCTTCGGAATCCAGCCTCAGAGCCACGCCCATGTCCCACGTGGTTCCTTCCTCCATGTTTTATTCTTGTTTGCCTTTTTTTCTTTCTTTTTGTTTTTGTTTTTGTTTTTGTTTTTTTCGAGACAGGGTTTCTCTGTATTGTTTTGGAGGCTGTCCTGGAACTCGCTCTGTAGACCAGCCTGGTCTCGAACTCACAAAGATCCGCCTGCCTCTGCCTCCCAAGTGCTGGGTTTAAAGGCGTGCGCCACCAACACCCAGCTCCCATATTTTATTCTTGTTTGCCTTTGTTTTCTTTTTTTTTTTTTTAATCAGGGTTTTACCATGTGGCTCTGGCTGTCCTGGAACTCACTCTTGTAGACCAGGCTGGCCTGGAACGCAGAGACTCCCCTATCTCTGCCTCCCGAGCGCTGGGATTAAAAGTGTGGGTCACCACACCCGGCCTTTCCCCCTTTTGGTCAAAGCCTGTGCTCCACGGAAAGCCCTGGGATCCTCAGCTGGAAGCTGAGCCTGGTGTATGTACAGCAGAGACCTGACAGTGAGTTCACGTGCCCCCCCGTTTCACAGATGAGGAAGCCATGCATGCGGAAGGCTAGGGAAGTGGTCACACGGGGTGACCATGAGGGTGTGCTTAGTCACTGAGCGACTGCTGTCTGTCAGGTACAACTGAGGCTCTGGGCAGGGAATGTCGTCCTGCTCACATTCTGTTGGAATCAGGACAGGCTTGCAAACCGGACAGTGAGCCATGGAGCAACACAGAGGCAAATCTGGCAGGGGGGGGGGAAGAGGGCGTGCGAGTCCACCACAGTACCTCAGCAGAGGCAGGGGTGAGGTTGGCAAGCCCTACAGATGTCCAGGGAAACTGTTCAGGCACATTGAAGAACCGAGGCAAACGCCCCGTGAAGTGAACGAGGCTGGTGTGTCTCAGGCCCACAGCACGGAGTTGCCATCGGAGGAAATGGTAGCCTTGGGGGGCTGAGGCAGGAGAACTGCCCATCTGAAGTCACTCTGAGCTACGTAGCTAAACTGACACCCACTCGCACAGGGCCCATCCGTGTGTGGTGCTTCAAGCCTGTAATCCTAGCGTTCAGGAGAGACGATTACCACTGCTGTAAGAAGAGCAGCGAGGGCCAGAGAAAGACGCCAGGCGACAGGGTTCAAACTGGAGTTTTTTAGGGAAAGGGGTCATAAAAGGAAGGGAAGTGGGGAGACCGGCCTACAGAGATCGGAACAGTGGAGAGAGGAAAGAGGGGGAGAGAGAGAGGAACAGACAGAGGGAAAGAAAGAGAGGGATGGGAGACAAGCAGGGCCCTTTTAAAAGGGAACATAGTGAATGTGCACACGTGGTGCTCTTAGCGGCTGCAGCTGAGGACGTATCCTGTCAGAACCCAAGGACAGGCCAGTACAGAAGCCTGAATACTAACAGCCATGAAGTTGAGGATAACTTCATTTAGTGAGCTCAGGAACAACCTGAGTTATATATAGTAAAACCCTGTCAGAAAAAAAAAAATCATGTGAGGGCTGGAGGTGTGGTTCAGTGGTAGAGCCCCTGCCTAGAATCCCCCAGTGAAGGGATGGGGGCGTGGCTCAGTGGTAGACCCCTGCATAGAATCCCCCAGTGAGGGGCTGGGGGCGTGGCTCAGTGGTAGAGCCCCCGCCTAGAACCCCCCAGTGAGGGGATGTGGCTCTGTGGTAGAGACCTTGCTTAGCTAGTAGAAATGTTTTGTTCCTAGCTCCACTAAAACCAAAACTATCCAGTTTTTAAATAACTCACATGGGACCTGTGATCAAGTGAGGATTTTGGAGGGAAGACATATCTGAAAGTGTTCCTCTGGCTGGACGTTGGTGGCGCACGCCTTTAATCCCAGCACTTGGGAGGCAGAGGCAGGCAGATCTCTGTGAGTTCGAGGCCAGCCTGGTCTACAGCGCGAGTTCCAGGATGGGCTCTAAAATCACATAGAGACCCCCCCAAAAAAAGTCCCTCTGGCTATGAGGTGAGGGACTGATGGGGCGGGTGGAACC